TCTCAAATTCATCAAAATATGAAGGGCTACACTCTCTCCATGTACACATCAATTGAAAGTCCCAACTACCATTTGCCCGGTGGGACTATTTAATTTGTACTTAGTTCTAGGAATGAATGGCGACGAGATGGTTGGAAATGAAAATGAATTGATAATGATATGGTATAAAAATGGAAATAATTCAGTATTTATTGCAGTTAGTAGTGTAATAGGAATATGATTGCATAAACTAAGAGTTGAAAAGTGCAAGGCCAAGGGTTTTTATAGGATTTGTATTACTTGGAGGGTAAATAAAGCCCATCATGATGAATATAAATAAAAGCACAAGACAAAGGAGACGGATTATGAGCTACGGTCTAGGGGGAAGGTGAGGGTTGGGAGAACATCTCATGGTGGGTGGGAGTGTGGTAAGAGATTATGGCAGTGTTCATTTGGAAGCTTATTGGAGATGCTTTGATGCTTGAATAAATACATATTCTTGTACAATGAATATGTTTCCCTTGATAATTTCTATAATTTTGATAAGAATTAATTGACAAAAACACTATGATTCAGACAAACCGAATCAACCCCAATTTCATATACTATTCGATGTTCAATTACCAACACTTTAAAAGAAGAAACAAAATCAATGGAATCTAAATCAATAATCGAAAGAGGTTCACATGTTAAAGGAGCCAACCGAACTGAATCAAACCTCAAAAACAAAGTAGCTTAGAGATTTAGAAACATACATGAAATAACTGAATCAAACCTCAAAAACAAACTCGAACCTCTAGTTTTGGTTATGAAATAAGTGGAAATAGGCTGAGAGAAGAAAATTTTGTCGATAAAAATGAGACAGCTTTCTTTAAGGAGATGGTGGAAGCCTGGAAGGCTATTTCAGTTGTGGGTTTGCTTGTCAAGAGGTGGCAGCTTAGTTTAAGTGAGGGTTTGCTTTAAGCAAGGTGACAAAGCTTAACTTTACAGATGGTGAAGTGCTAAAATCTGTCATTTTCAACCCAAACAGTTTGGCAAATTGCACTAGGGCCTTAAAAGAGTAAGGCTGTTATAAGATAGAAAAAGAGAACTTGAGAGTGTTTTGAGTAGTAAGTGACAATTAACGTTTTCCTTGTTTGACCTGGCTATATAGGGAAAAACCCTCACAGGCAATTAGTAGAGAAGGCTTCAGAGCATAGTAGGTAGTCCTTGATGATGCTCGTTCTGAAGGTCCTTGTTGGTAAGAGCACAAATGAGCTGGACACCCAAGGGGAGACTCCGAAGAAGGCTACTCAGTTCGATGACTAAACTCTGGACTCTTGATTCTCACAATATGTGTGAGTGGAAGTAGAATAAAGCTACTTTGGTAGACCAATGATCGAGCCTTTATGTATAGTTCATCTTGCTTAATCGTTCATGTTAGATTAAATGTAGAAATATAGAAAATAATCGGAATGATGACTCTGAGGTACGACTTGAATCGTTTCCTTAAAGTGTTATTTGCCTTCACTCGAATGAGTTTGCTAAAGGGTTCTTGGCAAATCACTTCCAGGATACAACAAAGTATGAAATATTCGATTAGCAAAACCAAATTATATTCCCTTAGAAATAACTAGAAAGAAATTGTATAAATGTGATGGAGAAAGAAGAGAAAAAGGAATGTGGAAGCAAATTTTTGAAATTATGTGTGAAACATTATGCCACAATAGTTATTTATAGGCATCAAAGCACTCGTTCATTGAGTCATTTTATTTTAGTTGAAGATATACAATCTTTCTTAATAGTGTTGACCTAAAAGATATGTCTTCTATTTAGAATTTTCAGAAAATAAATATCATCATGTGTTTTGACTAAAAGTTGCAACCAATCAACAAAATATACAACCATAAAAAGTTGAATGAAGCCCAACCTTTTGTAAAGGTTGCCGCCCGTACAATTGCTGCACCCTTTGTCTATTATACACACACATGCTGCACAATGTTGCGCCAAGTCAATATATATATATAATAAATTTATATATTTATTATTGAAATCTGTAACAGTTCTGCTATGACCAGTTTGAAAATTCCAGTTTCTTTGTACTGGATTTTTATCATCAATAATTTAATACCGTTGTCTTAAAAAATAGTTTGGGTGTAACAACAAAGTAATTAAGAAATAAAAGTACACTTTAATTTCAAACGACTAACAAATTAAATTCCGACAATTTCACGTAAGTAGTTAAGCATTCATCGTTCCGTCGGCTCTCAGAACCACCATTTTGTGCAATGAGGTGCGCTTTTTCACCCTAAAAAGCTCATCGACACCGCACATGCATGTATACTGTATAGGTTAGCATGGCGATAGGAGGAAGAAACAACAAACTCACAGGTTACCAGCTGAATCATTTTTTAAAATACAAACGATATTACTACACAAAGTTACATGAAGGAGAGAATATAGAGTTTACACACGTGAGTAGCAACAAGTCAAAGAGGAAGGCTCTATCCATCGCTGAGCCGGCTGCACTGTTCAGGAGGCAATAGTTCTTATTTAGGTGAGCATGCATGGTAGATAGATAGAAAGAGGAAGAAACAAACAACAAAAAAAGTAAAACTGGACGGACAATGCATATTAAAGGGCATATTATTGATGTGGGGGACATATCCTGTATGAGGCAAGTTTCCTCTGGCCAACATAAGCCGCAACAAACGCAAGAATATTTAAAAGATGCTGATCAGTCCTAGCTGTGAACTTATCTGATCTTTGTATTTTGGATTAATCCATTTATCACTTGTAATTATCACTTGTATTATCTGTTTATTATACAAGAGTTTGTTCTACATCAAACTCTCTTTTGTAATCTCTATATAAGGATGAATATACAGAAGGAATGTTCACCGAGCAAAATCATACTCAACCTTTAGTTTTCTATCTTGGTATCATTCTCTCTCTATCCAACGACTCAAACACTTCTCGCATCTCAATGGCTTTACCCGCTGCACATACCATTTCCCACCCCAATGTCACCACCTTCCTGACTATTAAATTAGACCGTACCAATTACCCTCTATGGAGGGCGCAATTCATTCTTCTTCTTCGTAGCCGTGGTCTGCTTTCCGTTGTAGACAGCTCTACCGTTTGTCCACCTGATTTTCTGTCTGACGCTGATGGAACATTGACTGATATGGTTAATCCGCTGTATGAGGCTTGGATACAGCAAGATCAACTGGTACTCTCTTGGTTGGCGAGTTCCTTAACTCCCAACGTCCTCTCCGTTATTGTGAACAAAGTCTGCGCTGCTGATGCGTGGCGCACTCTTCAAGACCGGTATGCATCTTCTTCGCATAACAGGGTTGTTCAGCTCCGTGGGGAGCTCATGAATCAGCGCCGTGGTGATCTTTCCATCACGGATTTTTTGGACAAACTTAATTCTTTGGCTGATCAACTTGCCCTATATGGGTCTCCCATCACTGATGATGGTGAACTAAAGGTTGAGTATGATTTTGCTCGGTGAACATTCCTTTTGTATATTCATCCTTATATAGAGATTACAAAAGAGAGTTTGATGTAGAACAAACTCTTGTATAATAAACAAATAATACAAGTGATAATTACAAGTGATAAATGGATTAATCCTAAATACAAAGATCAGATAAGTTCACAGCTAGGACTGATCAGCATCTTTTAAATATTCTTGCGTTTGTTGCGGCTTCTGTTGGCCAGAGGAAATATTTGAATTTCCTCTTGGCGGGCGCAATGGTTTATCACCAGCTACATTTATTAGGCGGCAAATTATTTGTTTTTTTTAGTGCTTTTGTTTTTCTTTTCCTTTTTGGTTTGTTTTCAGCTTATGCGGTCTCGTTAACATCTTATGTCTAAGAAACACGAGAACCAAACACTTAAACAATAATTAGCGATTACAATTTTAAAATGGTGATGGTCAATTGAAGTCTATACAAGTGCATGCATCAGCTAAGTTAACGATTTTTTGACCAACTTGATATATTGGGGTGATATAAGACACGAGATGGAAGCAAAGTTACAAGGTTACAATTTAAGATGAGGAAAATGGAAATTTTGACATAGCGCTGGAGACATGTAAAATATAAACAAATAAAATAGAGCCACTTGATTTCACGAGTCCCGTTTGACCTAGATTTCATGGTATGAGAAAATGATTAGATTCACCATTCGATTTTAATTTAACTATGGAGGAAAAGTACAATAGAAGTTAAATGACCACTTGCCATTAAATTAAACAACAACTAACCACAATTTCCTTGGACCATGACATCTAGAAGAAAGGAATTATTTTTTGTACTATTTTTCTCTCTCTCCACAACTTTGTGTATTTCTAGCATTTAGATTGAATAATCAAACGCTGATCAATAGACAAAAATAAACAAGAGTACGAGAAGGAAAAAAAAATCTTGTGTAAAAATCATTTCCTTAAGTATATTAATATAGGATAATACTTGGATATTTATGGAAGTAAGGAACATATCCCACCCCCTTGTGTATAATGTATTTTCATTGTATAAGTTCTATAATCGGAATTGTTTTGTTTTTTAATCTTCATGTGAAGATCAACTCTACAAAAAACCATTGACTTGGAGATATTTTGTGCATCCAAAAGTATAGAAAAATCAACTATGAGAAACCAAGTAACATATTCATGATGAACCATACATTTATTTGATACACATACATGACCAAACAATCACCAATTCGAATAAGTTTTTTATAGGGATGACCTTAAAGCTAAGACTAAAAAAATTAAACGGTTTAGATTATGAAGATACGGTGAAATAGGTTATTCGCAATGGATAGAATATGTGCAATCTTCATAAAAATTGCAAGTAATATCCATTAATAAAATTATATGGGCATGTCACGGTCCTCTGAACATCGTTCTCGAAAGGAAGATGGCCCAAAAGTTAAAGCATATCCAGCTGCAAAATTAGTTGACAATAAATGCTACCGATATATCGATATATATTCTCCCTATCAAGCTAGTTCCTTCTCAAGAGGTTTCATTAAACTAGTCCACTTTGTAATTCCACAATGGTTTCAACAACCAGCTTGAGGCTCTCATCGGTTGTTCCAGCTACAATGACAGGTGATGAAAACAAGGTCCATGAGCTCACCAACATGGACTTGGCCATGAAGCTTCACTACATCAGAGGGGTCTACTTCTTCAAGAGCGAGGCAGTTGAGGGGCTCACAATTTATGACTTGAAGAAACCTATGTTCGAGCTCCTGCAGCTCCACTTCATTGCCTCTGGGAGGATCCGGAGATCCGAAACGGGGAGGCCGTTCATCAAGTGTAACGACGGCGGTGTGAGAATTGTAGAAGCGCGTTCTGAAGAAACAGTTGATGAATGGTTTGCCAGGGCTGTGGAGGACTCTTCTCTCTTTGATGGTCTTGCTTATAATCAATCCCTTGGTCCTGATCTTGGTTACTCTCCTTTGGTCTTTTTACAGGTAATAACCATACTATGTACTTGTTTTAGCTCATCCTTTGTTCTTGGTATTTCAGTATATGTGCATGCTATTTGGTAATTCAACAAAAATTGTATAAATCCAATACAGCAAAAATATTTGTGTTTCTAAATTTCTAGATCTTGGTGCCAACTCAATCATAACTGGAGTTGGCGTGTAGAGGAGAAAATCTCTCATTCATTCAAGCACAATTATAGTGGCATTTAAACTAACCTAAATAATAGATTAATTTAAGCACGAATCAATTGTAGTAATATATGTAAATAAGAGGTCAATTCCACATGGATTGCTTTAACACCAATTTAACCGATTAATCACATTAGACTTAATTAAACAAACAAAGGATAGATTGAGTTGAATAATTGAGTAATTTATTAAGACTAAAATTAACAAGAAAAAGAAAATACAATTAATTAGAATAAACACACGACACAAGAAGAAATTGAGGAACAATGGAAATCTAAGGTTATGAATCCACCAACAACAATCCTATTTACTTTTCCTAGAGCCAACTACTATCCAATTACCATGCCAATGTTAAAGGTTGTTCTTTCTAAGATATGAATTAATATGTGGTTAAGCATCAACTCTTGTATTTGTACATGATAATTATATCCTATTGGTTAGACATACAATTAAACACATAAAAACCCATTAAGTGTAGAAGAATCATGTCAAGCAAGTAGGACTAGCTTGATATTGGTCATCCTCACTAGTTTGTCTACTCTTCTTAATCTTATTTCCAATAAACCTAATTGATTGGTCATCCTCATAGATTTATATAAATATCTAGATGTAAAATTCCTAAAGGTGATCAATTATTAGAAATCCGAATCTAGAATAAAATACCCACCAAGATTAAGAATATAACATGGCATATAATCGGATAATAATTAACAAAGTACTTCGCAAATATTCATGTCATGGTTTCATCATAAACCTTAGAAAATAACTTAGTTACATATAGAAATAAAAATAAAATAAAGATAGAACCCATAATCTATGGCAAAGCATGCCCCTAAGCTCTTCTTCGTGAATTATAAGCTCTTCTTTGCGAATTATGGAGATGGTGAATGGTGTAGTGTTGTGATGGTATCGGGGATGCTGGGGTATGTAGAGAGATCTTAGGGACCTTATTTATACTAGAAAAACCCTAAAAGGTCTGGGAGAAACTCTCCTAAATAAAACAAACTCCTAAACAATTAATGACACAAACTAGGAAAGAATCCTTCTTGGCTTGGGAACACGTCATCTGTCTTGCATGCCAGTTTTGGGGTTGATTTGTCTTCTGGAAAATTCTGTAAAAATATGAGAAACGTAGCTTTATCTCTTATCTTTCCAAGCATATATCGCATGCCACTAAGAAAAATCGGGAAAGCCTTCAAATCTTCATTCTCCCACAGCTGCGCAATTCTGACGGGAAAACAACTTCTGCCGGATTGATTTGTAAAACTGGAATGAATGGCTCCATGAAAAATTATGAAATTTGGACACAACAATCTTCAGCCTCTTAGCTTCCTTCTCCAATTTCCTTGCATCAAAACTCCTCCGGAAAGTCGAATTATCACCAAAATCGTTCTAAGTGCTCAGATTGGCTAAAACTGAGAAAAGGAAAGTAATAAAGTTCTTTTAAGACCAATTCCTTAACAAAACTTAGGGATAATTACTATCAAAATATGGTAAATAATGCACCTAACAGCATCTACCCCGGTTGCAATTAGTAGAAACTAATAGGAGAGAGAAGCAAAGGAAAATAAATCACAATACTTCGTTGTGATTGATTGAAGTCATGACGATGTGGAGTCGTGGTTTTAAGAGAGAATCTGTCATTTAGGCTGGGAGTACAATCATACAATCGTATAAGTAACGTATAATTAGTAGCTACAATGATATGAGTTATACGCGTCTTTTTTTCATAATTATCTAATTGTGTATGTGTGATAAGTGCATGCCAGAAATAGGCGTAAATCACAATCGCTACGTGGAACTTTTGACCGAGACCTGATTACATAAGTTTTGTTATTTTCAACCATATTGATTAGATGATCTGCAGGGAAAGGGTCTGGACTTTAGACTAATTAGGAACAAATGAATCCTCTTTGCACATATTTACATGGTCGTTTTTTCATGTGGTAATTTGCATGCAGTTCACTTGGTTCAAATGTGGAGGAATGGCAGTGGGACTCAGCTGGGCCAACGTCCTTGGAGATGCATTTTCTGCCTCAGCCTTCATGAACATGTGGGGGAAGATCATGGCCGGTCACGTGTCGCGGAAGCTCCTCCACATGCCACCTCCCGGAAAACCTGAATTCCCATCACTTTCTTCGGTTCCCAAAACACCATTTTCTCTGAAAAGGGTTGATCCAGTAGGTGATTACTGGGTGACACCCAACAATTACAAGACGAGGAAACACATTTTTCATGTTTCTGCTGAGAAACTTGATCATTTGCTCTCAAACATTTCTTGTCCTCCAAGCAACCAATCGGCAAAAGTCTCCTCAGCTTTTGAAGTTCTTTCTGCTATCATATGGAAAACCTTGTCAAAGATCAAGGAAAGCTCGGAGCAGATAACAAGGGTGACAATTTGTACCAAAAATGCGCACAAAGGGGAATTCGAAATTCGGACTAATGACATGGTGTGGAGCACAGTTGAAGCAAATTTCTTGGTCGCAGAAGCTGAAGTGTCAGATTTGGTAGAGCTGATTGTGAACAAAAGGGCAGAAGAGAATGGTGCAATTGAGGAGATGACAGGGAGGGAGGAGGGCGGGATTAATTCGGACTTCATAGCTTACGGAGCAAAACTTACATTCATGAACTTGGAAGAGGCAAAGATTTATAGGCTTGAATTGAAGGGACAAAAACCAGTTTATGCAAATTATGGTGTTAGTGGGGTTGGTGATGAAGGGCTGGTTTTGGTGCTTCCTGCAAGTACTAATAACGTCGGTCGATTAGTGAGTGTGGTCCTGCCTGAAAATCAACTTGCACAGCTCAAAAGTGAGCTCCAAAGGAATTGGAGTATTGCTTGAAAATCAATACGGTTAGTTAAATCAGCAAAAGAAAGAAAATTGATTTGCTTTCGATTGATAACTCGTAACTGCTACATATGTTATGCAGAGAAGTTAAAGAGAAATGAAAAGAAATTGCAATATCATTTTTAGTTAATAAGTTGGTATTAAACTTAATACCAAACCAGCTATCAGATACATCAAATTAAGCACAAAAATAAAAAGTAGACCCTCAAACTTAAAAAAGTGTGACTGAAGCCAGCAAAGGGCCCAACACACAACCAAATAAACAAAAAAAACTCAAGTAATTTACATCCCTACCATCACCATGCCTCCAGAGGTCCTCCACCACACGGCAGCCTAAATTCTGACCAACCAAAGACGAAGGCACAGAGCTCCACCATCCTTGAAACATCACCAAACAACCGCTGCTACCATACAAAAGAAGCCGATAAAGGCACACAAACGGAAGGTGGTGGGGTAAACATCATAGCCGGAGCTCTACACACCATTCGGGAAATCCGTGTCAAAGCGCAGTGAAGAGATGTATCAAATTAAGATTGGTGTGAAAACATGGGAGATTGAGCGATTTGGTTGGATGTGAAAAGCTAAGAAATGGACACTGAAGCAGAAACGAAGCGGAAAGAATTAGGAGAAGTGGAAGGAAATCAGTTGACAGAAACATGGAAGAAGGGAATTAAGGACAGGTAAATGGAAGATTGGAACAGAAACAAGGTGAAGATCCGAGTTTAGGACTGCAAGGTGAAACAAAAGTAAACGAGATGGAGGATTTGTAATAATAGCAGGGTATACAGAAACAAAAAATGAAGGAAACAAAGAAGAGACTGTCGCTGATCCTGGCCACACCTAGAGCCGACGGCCGAAGGAGAGTTGGATCAAGGAAAGTCCACACACAAACGGTGCGAAAATTTCTCACAGAGAGAACAGACCTCTCACCTTTACAAGAGAGAAGCCAACTTAGTACTAGAAATTTAAAAGCTGTTTTTTTTTTTTTGGATCAAACAATAAATTTTGTTAAATTAAAAGTTAGATTAGCAATCGACGAGATTTGAACTCATGCTATCATGAAAGAATTCAACATTTTTTCATCACTGTGGTAAAAAATCACTTGTTTAAAAGCTGTTTTTAACTTTATAAACAAAATTAAAACGCCTTAATCACAAATATGTCATGGCAAAACAGCTGCACCATTGAAAAGAATAGAAGAAGTTGACTATTGTTTTGATTATTTGAAAAAAGAAAAAAAAAATTGCTCAAGAAAAACCATCGTCATGCCGAAAAGTTACTATTCGAGCAAGAATTCACAAACCTGATTTTCTCCTCCAGTTCTTCGTCACCCCATGACATTAAGTCCCGAAACATGCTTGTGTACATGTGCCGAGTCCAAAGATTTAACCACATCCATCCACGGCTTGTCGATCATCAATAGATTTCCTTGGAATAACTCCAAAAACCTTGACTGCAATTCGTTTTGCTCTTACTTTGATTGTCTGTTATGAGTTCTGTCAATTTATGTTTTCATGTCTGACCTCTTGGCCTGTCACTTTCATCGTCTTGATCATCGGGCATCACAAGGTCACTCCGGCACATTGCACTGGCACTATAAACAATAACAGCAAATGAACTTGAGGAGGGTGCGAAAGAGAGCCTGATAACTTCGCCTGGAAATTCTGAAAAGCTCTTTTGCAGACATAGACAAGACTATACATATCATCTTGCCAGGACCAGTTTCCCAATTTTCTTTTCGTACCGTCCTCATTTGGAAAACCGCATAGTTAATGAATAGTTTTTTACTACCTATAAAAGTAGGGATAAAAATACTTACAAGAAAATAAAGTAATTGTAATATAAATTACTCAAATAAGGTCGTTCTTTATAATAATTAAATAAGTAATGGGTACTTAAACTAATTCCTAGTTAACTATTTTAAACAAAGTTTTGAAAAGATTGATTTTTATGTCTTAAAATAATAAAAACGAATTTAATAAAAACAATTTAAAGAATTGGGCAAAAGTAAAATAATTTAAATAAGGATAAATTACACAGAACTACCTCAATGGGTCATTAACAGTTTCATACCTCGTCTTTAAAAAGTTTCAATGTCATACTGTATCTTCGAATTTGTTGCAATGTCATACCTTCCATCAATTGTCTGTCAATTCCTCTATTAAATGCTGACATGGCTTGTGACGTAGCACACTTTCTATTAAAAAACTAAAAAAATATTATTAAAAACTAAAAAAAATCATTTACTATTTTTTAATTATTAAAATATTAATTAATTAAAGAAAGTTATTTAAAAATTAAAAAAAAATAAAAATAAAAAACCCACTCCATGTTCGTCTTCCCCACCCCTTGCAACCTAGAAAGAAAAAAGAAGAAGAAGAAGAGAGAAAAAAAAAACCCCATTCTCCCCCCCACCCCCTGCAACCCAGAAAGAAAGAAAGAAGAAGAAGAAAAAAAAAAAAAAAAACCATATTAATCTTCCCCGACTCCCCCTTCCCTGCAACCCACCCATTTCTTTCTCCTCCCGTCTTCCCCTTCCCTCCTCCTCCGCACCCACTACCTGCAACCCAAGAAAAATAAAAAAAAAAAAAAAAAAAAAAAACCATCTTCATCTTCCCCGATCCCCTTTTTCTCTGCAACCTAGATCCCGTCTTTTGCCGATTCTGCGGGTGGAGAATTTGGGTATGGAGAAAATAGGGGGAATGGGTGTGGATTTAAGGAGTGGGGTGTGTAGAGGAGGGAAGATGGTGGGTGCAAGGCTGGGTGCGAGGGTGGGTGCAGAGGAGGAGGGAAGGGGGAGACAGGAGGGGGAAGAAAGGGGTGGGTTGCAGGGAAGGTGTGGTCAAGGAAGATGAAGATGGTTTTTTTTTTTTTTTTTTTTTTTTTTTCTCTTCTTCTTCTTTCTTTCTGGGTTGCAGGTGGCGGGGGGAGAAAGGGGTGGAAGGGGGGAAGATGAACATGGGTGGGTTTATTATTATTATTATTATTATTATTCAAAAATATTAAATAATTTTTTTCTTTTTTAGTTTTTAATAATATTTTATTAGTTTTTTAATAGAAAATGTGTCACGTCAGCATTTAACGGAGGAATTGACAGACAACTGACGTAATGTATGAAATTGTAACAAATTTGTAGATGAAGTATGACAATGAAACTTTTTAAAGACGAGGTATGAAACTGTTCATGACCAATAGTTGAGGTAATTCTGTATAATTTACCCTTAAAACAAGGATAAATTGTATTTTACCCTCTTAGGTTTGAGTGTAATTGCAACTTCATACAACATCTTTAAAACATTTCAATCTCATACATTTACTTACATTTTATTTCAATACCATACATCTGGTAACTGACCCGTCAAGTGATGACGGGGCACATGGTGACCTACATTTAGGTGATGATGTGGCAAATAACTAAATATTAAAAAGTTAATTTAAAAAAAAATATTAAACCAAAACAAATATAAAAACCACTTCATCTTCTCCATTAACACATTCTCTTCTTTGATACCTTATCCATCGCCTCTATCACCTCCTGAATCGTCTTCACATCTATGATCCCGTCCTTTGCCAGTTGCCACCACTATCTGGTGGTTGTTGCATTGTTGTGCTACAACAGTATCCTATCTGTTGGACTAACCCAACCCCAAAAACCCATCTCAAATCCTCCGACCCCGAGCAGCCTCCGGTGAACTGGAAAGTTCAATTCGTTAGAAAGGTTAGGATTTTTGCCATAATCGCCAAACTATTGCTAGAAAATTTGGTTGGATTTTGCAATGCCGCTCTGAATTCTTGAACGAGGGTCGAATTGAGATCCCCAAAGAGTCGTTGATTTTGGCGGCGAGAGAAGCTTCTCGCCCAAATTCACATCCATGGAGGCTAGCGAGTCATTGATCCTGTCAACCATGTATACAAATAGGCCCTTGCAGACGCCCATAACTTTCTTTAGATGGGTGCCCTTACTGGTGTACCCGGCTGATTCGGTCACTTTGGGTGGGTTTTCCTCCTACAGCCGCTCAGAGCGAATTCGGGTCGGGGAAGGGAGGGGACGGGTCGTGTGGTGGTGGTGGAAGAAGGTCCTTCAATTGTTCCGTAATGGTGTTGGTGGTGGTGTAGGTGGTGGCGTAGGACATGGTATGGGCGGCCCAGCTTGATCTAGGGCAGATGAGGTTGGTAATTAGGTGAGAATGGATGGATGGAGAAGTAGGGTGAAGATGGATGGGTTGGTGGGCCCAATGTTTTTTTTATTAATTAATTTTTAATTTGTTTTTATCCATGTGGTGCAAAGTTGGCAGCCACATTATCACACAAATGTGGACCAAAATGTGCCATATCATCACTTAACAGTAAACTTAACGGATGTATGAAATTGAAATAAAATGTAAATAAATGTATGAGATTGCAATGTTTTAAAGATGTTGTATGAGGTTGCAATTGCACTTAAACCTGAGGGGGCAAATGTAATTTACCCTTAAAACAAAACGGTTTTTCAAAATCAAATTGTAAAAACACTAGGGTTCCACTATTATCTTAACAGTCATGCGTAATTTTTCCAATTACTTACTTACACATGCATATTTTGAAGGTTATATTTTCCTAATATATGCTCTACTTGGACCCCCAATATAGAGTGTATATCAAACATTCATTCCGTCTGTGGTATTCAGTTCAAATCTAAACATGCAAGACTCATTAAACTTTATGAAAACCTTTTGAAAAAGCATGAAACACGTGGTATTCATCCTAAGTGAAATTACAATTATTAACCATAACAAGCTTTCGTCAATTTCAGGGAGAACCCTCCAACCAAAATTGTATCAAGTTACTTTTCTAAATATCCCAATGATTAAGCATTCAGACAAATAGATAGTTTCAAACATGGTGATTAATAATTTAAAACGTACATGCATAAAATCATAAGCAAGTTGAAAAGAAACTACAATTTTTGCTAAGGTTCATGGCATCGCCCTAGCAAAAGAGATTAGTTACACACAATCATAAAGAAAAATATTATTAAAAACATGGATAGAAAAACACTTTGTAAATAAACTTGAATCATCAAAAGCTCTCTAAGCTGAATTCTCCAAAGTAATGCATTAAAAACCCTAAAATGGCTAAA